CCAACTTCCCATCATCTATAGATTGATATTTGTGTTTTGAGCAGAATACATGCCAGCAAGAGCCAAACCAAGGTCAGGAGCAGCTCTTAAGCCAAACCCCATCATTATCCAACAAAAGCCTTGTGTCCTGGTGCTTGCCAGAGTCACTTGCCAAGAGCAAGTTTGATGAGGAAACCTGGCTGCTTGTCCCGAGTTGTTACAAAGCCGTATGCCAGCTGCAGTCTAAATGACTGCACAGCACTTGTTGGAAGTACCAGCAAGAAGGGGCTTTAGTTAATAGCCACCATGTGCCAGTTAGGTCACAGCACAAACCACTCCATGGCTCAGACACTGCAGTGCTCTGAACCCATCACTGAGATGCCCAAAGCCCAGCTTTTAACTCAAGGCAAATTCAGTCTTGGGCAACTATATTGGTGGTCTAGATTTAATAGTATGAAATCAGCTCTTTTTCATGCAGAGGACCTTGTTTCACTTGGAGGAATATTATGTTTCTTTACCACACTAAAGAGTAATCAGTTTATTTAGAAGAGCAATAATTATTCAGCGGATACAAGAGCTCCTAACAGTCCCAGATGCAGGATATAATATCTGTTTACCAGTGGAAGCTTTGGGTAGTTTCTCTGGGCAGGGCTGTGACCCAGCTGCAAGATGTGTGGGTAACTGATAAGCTGCTGACCGTAAAAGTCACCTGACAGCAGCGGTTTACTGAAATCATGCAGTCTTGAGTTCACAACAGCTTAACAGTCGCTGCTTCCATGCTTGGTTTCTCGGCTGCCCAGGATCTCCTGTCTGAAAGGTGACTCTCGGGCTGAAACATCAGCTGTTAAGCAATACACGTGTGTCACTCATCCTGACAGTGTCCTGCTTCAGCTTTGACAACTGGATTGTTTTCTGGTTTTCCATGGAGCCTTAAGCACGTAAAGGCTAGAAAGCTTTTTCTGCTTGATACAGCCATTACTGGGCAGGTGTAATGCTCTACTTAGGAAAAGTATTGTTTCACTCATGTCAGTTTAGTGCTGGTATATTAAGCTAAGCAATGCCCACTGCACTCTGTAATCCCCAAGTCAATGGACTACTGTTGAATGAAAGTGTTCGGTAAAGCTGACACTAAGTTGAAGGACCAGGAGCTCCAACGGAATAGGTATCAGATCAGTTAACCCATCTCTAAGAGAAACAACTGCACACAATGCTGTTCTATTGCAGTTTTGGTGAATCTTATGCCTATAGTTGGAATAGATCACAGCCTGGGATCTCTCAAGTATTACAGATATAAAGGTCATGGGAGTGACCCTTGCAAAACTAAAGCACAGCACAAACAGTTCTTCGTGTTACTCATTACTCTGCAAGCTGCTAAAGCTTCCTCCTCCATCACGAAAGCCTTGTCACTTCCACAGGGCTCTCCTGGCAGTTCAGCTGGAAAGCTCCACTTCAACTCCAATAGCTTTGCCTCTGTTCAGCATGCTTTTACACTACTAAAAGTAGTCCATAGCACTGCAGTCAGTTTGAAGGGCAAGTGAAGCTTGTTTTTATGTCAAACATGACACCAGCATACAGGCACTGTTGCTTAACACATACTTCTTTATCATTTGATGCAATTATTTTAGGGTGGCTTATGGTGTTAGAGGGGCAGAGGAGGCACAGACCACAAGTTGAGCTGAAAAGCAACTGCCAGCTCCAACTTCTGATGGGCAATGTGAAGGATTTAACTGGTTTTGCCTAACATGGAAGTAGCAGTGCCCACATACTGCAAGTAGAACTGGCTTTGTACTCTAGGAATTAATGATGGAACTCATAAGATGCTCAACTAAGGGTAACAACAGTGCATCACAGGCAGAGTTTACAGACTAAACTAGACAAAATCAAATGCTCCTGTTTAAAGGAACTGTTTATTGATGAAATCAGTGTCTGGTGAAAGTCCTCAAGTGTTACATGCAGCTGTGTTCACAACTGCAGGTACTGCCTGGCAGGACATTTCAGCCATCATCTTCCCACCCAGGAATTCATAACTACTAATGATTCAACATCTTTTCTAAGCTGCTCAGTTGGCAACATATTTTAGCTGCAAGGAAGTTTTTCAAACATTAGATGCAGGTTCACTGGTGAATTACTCTGCAAGTACCATACAATGTTAATATTCTCCTTGCTTTTATAAATGATCTATTTAAGTTTATACAGGGATAGAGGCAGAATCCACGCATTCCTGCCTCAGCACACAAGCAGAGCAACACTATATTATCAAGTCTTAACTTTCTAGCTGTCAGAGAATCCAGGACTGGAATGAGTTTAAAGGTAATTAACCTTGGAGGTCACAACCCTGTGAGACAGGTCCAACTTCAGCCTGCTCTCTCAGAGCCTGTATTTCCACCAGGAAGAATCAAGGCAGTTACTTCAGAAAGCTCCTCGAATAGGCTCCACACTTGCCTCAGTGTGAAAACACTTAAACATACATGTGCATTGTTTCAGCCAGAGTTACACCACGCTTCACTGGAAGCCACAAAAATATTCCACTTGTGTCACCTCACTGAAAAGGCTCATGAACAAAGTCGCACTTCAAGAGTTTTGTTGTAACATGACACAGAAGGAGCAGCAGGTTCACCAGCTGTCAGTCAGTGTTCCTGACACCTTCTCATGACTAATTAAGGACACCTCCAGCAGAAGACAACCTCTCTGTCAGCACAATGCAGCACAATACAACTGTATTTAAAATAGGCTTAATCTTTTAGGCACATTTCAGTTTGGTGGGAGAGGATTGCCCTCGATTGCAGGCAGTCCCCACAGCATCCAAGCAAGATCAGATCAGCAGATACTGCTCATTCCTTTCTCAGCAACAGACTCTCAGAGAGTAGCAGGCTCCTGCAGGAGTTAACCCACAGTTACACAGGAGGGTTTATCTGTAGAACCACACATTCTCCTTTTGCTAAAGATGCCTCAGTCATACATAATTGAACACAAGAACTGCTATCATTTACAAGCTCAAAGAGGCATGAGGCAACCCATGTAAACCGGCCTCTGACACTACAAATAGCTAACTAAAATAGAAGTTGTTTCAATGATCCCACCCATTACATCATGGAAACTGTTATTTTGTCATGAAAAATCCCTTAAGTATCCAATTTAATCTCATTAATAGAGGAATGAAGCTCTCACTTCCAAGACAGCAGCTGCCACTACCTTTGACATACATAGGAAGTCACAGATGTTTTTGGATGCATCAGAGACTACTGGATGCATCTTTAGGGGTTTAAGGCAGTGTCAGCTTTTCAAACTTACAGTAAAAAGCACTTCTGTAAACATTTATAGCCAAAGTGTCAAGGCAATAGTTTAATCTCTCATCTGAAACCTCTTCCCTTATTTAGGAAGGGAAAAATTAGGCATGTTGAAAATTTCATCAATCCACTATAATCACTAAACAAACCAAGTGAGGAAGACCTTATATTTCACAATACTGGTAGGAGGGAAGAAGTCACACAAGCCATGGCAGTGAAATCACATCAGCAATACCCCTCTGCCAGATATTTACAAAAAAGCCTGACTTGGGGAGGGAAGCAGGAAGTATTCACCAGCTCGCTCTTTGAGCTCAAGCACCTGCTCAAGCCATATTTCATTAAATATTTTAGTAGCACTGTCTGATCACAGCAGTGGAACATGACGCAGCTCACACTGGAGCACTTTTTGCACAGCAGAAAGGATACATGCTGTAACAGTGCAATTCCTTCCCACAGATCCTCATAATGCTGCAATTATTTGTCTGTGCTCTGTACCTAGTGCTGCCTCTCCTTGGAGATCCAATTCTTGTAACATCTCTTTTCCTGAAGGAGAAAACATCTCCTCTGTCTAACATTCAACATACTGCAGTATCTTTCCTATCCTTTCCCATTTGAAAGTCCCTGAATTACCCAGGCTTCAGCAACATTGATTCACTCACTGCACCCAGTGCCAAGTCAGAGCCTCGGCTAAATCTTTTCCTCCCCTCCTTTTTCCCTCTATACCTAGAGAATACTGAAAGCAAAGCACTCCAACAGAAAACTGCCCCATGGAGAGAGTATTTTTCAAGGTCAAGCAGAGCTTCTGCACCTGCTAAAGGTGCTAAATTAAGGCATGTTAAGAGTTGTAGATCACTGATAACACAATCATAAGGAAAACTGCTACATTCATGGGAGGTTTAAGAGCAAAGTTGGAAGTAATTTCTTTCCCCAGTACCCTCCTACCATCATATCAGGCAAGGAGAGACCAAACTGTTTTGTGATAAAGCTTTGAGATCAGGTGACAGATTAAGTGTGGAATTATTCAAATGGCAGACTACTGAAGTTTAATAGTCTGAAAAGACACACTAATTTCCACCTTTGGTCCCTTTTTCAAGTCCTCTTCCAGCACAGTCTCCACCCAACACAATCCTAAAGGGGCACTTAATGAATTCTGATGAGAAAGAGGTGGCTATCTCAGACACCTCAAACAAGTCTCTCCAACATCACCTTACTCATTCCTCATCTGTTCCCAACCTCTGTAGCCCAACATCTCCTTTGACCCGATTTCTCACCACAGCACATGGCATTTTCAATTTCCATCTCTGCAGCCTAACAAGTCCCTCACTCCCAAGATCCTCATTATCTTCCTATTTTAATGACTTCACATACCTGCACCCCAAAGCTCCTCAACCCTCTCACCTTTCCAGCCCCATAACTCCTTCACCCAAAAAGCTTCTCAGTCCCTATCCCCAAACCTTTCTCCTCTTCACCCCAACCCTTCACCTTCATCAGCCTCCCACCTCCCTTACCCCAACTCTTCCTCACCCCCTCACCTTCCTCACCCTCACCAGCCCCTCACGACCTTCTCACCCCAAGCCCTTCCTCGCCTTTACCAGCCCCTCAGCCCCCTCACCCGAAACCCTTCCTCACCTTCACCAGCCTCTCATCCCGGTCACCCCACAGCTCCTCAGCCGCCCTCGCCCCCTCCTCACTCCAGACACCCCTCACAGCCCAGGCTCCCACCGCCCCCCTTACCTGCCCCCGGGTCTCCCCCAGCACCCGGGACCTGCTCCGTACGGCGGAGGGGGGAGGCGGCAGCGCCGGGGAGGGCGGGGGGGGGATGAGGGAGGGAAGGAGGGAAGGGACGAGGTCACTGACGGCGACGCGAGCGCGGCGGCACCGGGCAGCGGCGGCCGCTTTATACCGGGTCCTCGGGAACCGGCACCCGCTTCCGCTTCCGCTTCCGCCCCCTCCCGCCCCCGGGGTCATGAATATGCAGCGAGAGGCGTGGCCTTCGGGGGGTACTTGGGGTGTGGGTTATGAATATGTATCAGAGGCGTGGTGTCCTCGGGCCGTGGGTGTTTCATGAATATGCAATGAGGGGCGGGGCCTCAGGACAGTGGGGACGGGCGGGGGGCGTTGCTGGGTGACGGCGGGAGGGCTACGGGGGCGCTCGGTCGTGCGCCGTAGGGCTGCCCACGTGAGGGGAGCCGAGGCGGGTGATGGCGGGGCAGGTGTTGGAGTGTGGCAGCGTCATAAGAGTGACACAGAATATTCACAAGTCGAGTCCAAGTCCAGGCCCTGCACAGGATAGCCCCAACAATCCCACCCTGTGCCTGACAGAGTTGTCTAAACACACCCTGAGCTCGGCCATAGTTGGTGCTTGACCACTTGCCTGGGAAACTGTTCCAGTGCCCAGCTAACATCTGGGTGAAGAACCTTTTGGTAATATCCAACCTAAGGGTCCCAGACAAGATTTCAGGTGATTCCCTCAAGTCATGTCACTGGTCACCACAAAGCAGAGATCAGTGCCTGCCCCTTCCTCTCAGGAGGAAGTTGTAACTGCAGTGAGGTCTTCCCTCAGTCTCCTCCAGGGTCAACAGACCAAGTGTCCTCAGCCATTCCTTGTATTACTCATCTCCTTAAGGCCCTTCACTGTCTTCATTACGCTCCTTTGGTTGCTCTCTAATAACTTTCTATCTTATAGTGTGGTACCCAAAAACACACACAATATTCAAGGTGAGGCCACCCCAGTGCACAGCAGAGCAGAGCAGAGCAGAGCAGAACAATCCCCTCCCATGCCCAGCTGGTGATGTTGTACCTGATGGCCCCAGGACAGGGTTGGTCCTCCTGGGTGTCAGAATGCTCTTGACTCATATTCAACATGCCATCAAACAGGACACCCAGGTCCCTTTCTGAAATGCTTCTTTCCAGCATCTCATTCCCCAGTTTGTGTAGCAGGAGTTTTTCCTGTTGCCCAAGGATGAAGGATGAGCCTGTTGGCACTGCTCCTGGGTTGAAGAGGGGCTCTTGGTTGGAAAGGGAGCATGAGTGGCAACCTGAAGGCGGATGGAGGCTCTGGCTGTACTGTCCCAGCCAAGGTAGTGGGCACAGAAACACTGCACAGACTCCCTTACCCTATCAGGCGAAGTTGTGCCAAGTACAGCTGCAAGCCAACAACTTGGAAAGTGCAGGAGTTCTCTGCCTGAGATACTGCAAACATGCTGGCCTCAAATTGCTGAAATAGTCCTTCATCATGAAGGAAAATACCTTTTCCTCATGTTTGGCTGCAGTCAAGGTCCCATCCTGCCTTCCCACCTTGTCCCTGCTGCTCTGCCCACCAGAGGCCCTGAGCTGCCTCTCCTCATGTCCAGCCCAGCCCTGTGACTGGGTGTGTGCCAGGCCACCATGGAGAGGGTGACATGTGGCATTTACCATGTATTTGTCACATCTGCAGAACACAACCCTCAACACACAGCTCCCAGTGTCCCTCAGGATATTAAAGCACTTAATTCCCAATGGCAGCCATAGCCCAGCGACTTTGTAAGAATCCTCTGCAAACTTGCCATAAAATACTGTGTTTTTTTAGTGCTGGTGTGTGTTTTTTTATTCCCAATTAAGGTCTCCTAGCCTTAATTGTGCTGACTGCATTGTGCAGGCTAGCATGATATTTAATTTTCATTACTTACATAAACTGGGGATGCATAAAGCAGCCTGCGAGCGGCATGTAAAATGCACGTTACATTGCGTAAGTGTAATTGTTTTCTGCTTCTTGACACGCCATTAAGTATATATTCCAAAACAATTTTTTTTTAATGGTGAACTTCTTTCTCTACAACTCATGAATAAATAAACCGCAATGCATACCAGACTTCAGAAAAGGAAAACCACAGAAGGCAAAATGGAAGAACTGTACACATCTATTAAAAAGCATGATGAATCCTAAGTCTAACAGAGAGACACTATTACAAGTCCTAAAGAAAAAAAAAAAGTGAGCAATATTTTGTTCTACAATGCTGTTATCGACATGTTTTTGGTTTTAGGCTAATTCAGACCAAGGGCTGAAAAGCATGCATCACCACAGTCATGCACAACTCACTAAATTAAACATCCTCTGGTGAGGATGTCCGAAGTCCATTCAAGGAGTGATGGTTTTTAAGACATACTACTGATGTTCATAAACACAAAAAGTGGCAAAATAATTATCTTAAGTAGCCAAATGGTGAAGATAAAGGATACACACCCATGACAGCCCAGTGTAACACCCACTCTTGACAGCAACACAACATCCATTGTATCAAAACTGTGATACACCTTAATGAAACATTAACATTTCTTCCACAGAAGAAACAAAATGTACCTACATTGATAGCAATGTCTAGACTATAACGGAAATTCTGAGACCCTAACACACCTAAAAACACCTAAAAAGAAAGGATCTAAAAGATATCATTACAACTTCTAAGATGTGCTTTTTGTTACCCATGGGTTTGTGGCATCCCCAGCTACCTGATGTTTTGACACCTCATTTTAAAATAACTGAAACAAATTAAAATGTACTTCTTTTTCAGTCTTTTTGTTACCTGTTGTTGTGGTGAAGTGTGATCCTTACCTCAGCCTGACATTTTAGATATGTTCTTGCAATGTCCAGACATGTCCAGACATGTCCAGATATTTCTCCATTGTATTTCCTCATGTTGTTTTCACTCAAGAGTTGTTAATTCTCAGCCTTTAGCTGAGCCTAAAGTCAGAAAAGGGAATTTTCCATTAACCAAACATTTTAGTTTAAAAAATGTGATTTTTCATACTGAGTGAGGGGATGGAAAAAAAATGCAAGGAAACAGATCCACCTTTTCCCTCTGAGGTTGTTACTCAACTGCAAATATTTAACCCACAATAAATAAGCACACTCTCATGTCTTGGCAGGGGAGAAATTAGTGTCAGTCAGGATGTGCTGTCCAAACGTGTGCTACGTTGGCCCAGGAGAGGGACTGGCCCTGGACTGAGCTTGAGTGGGATTGAAGACAGCCCTTGAGTGCTCCCCTCAGGTCCCTCCTCAGCAGGGTGGTAAATCCTGTTCTTTGGAGAGTCCCTAGGCAACATGTTTTTGGGGCACTTCAGGGAGAGCTTTTTTTAAAGAAAGCATCCAGAAGTCACGTTAAAATCTCTCCCTAGCTCTTGGTGTGCATGTATCCACTTTGCTGAGTCACATAGTTGAAGAACCCCCCAAGGTACCGATCTCTTGCTTACCCTCGTTTCCACTGGTTTGTTTGGCATGGAGTACCCAAGGACTTTAAAAGAGAAATAAATTACAGGACCTCAAACTACTGGAGAGCAACATCCTGCTCCAAACACCTTGCCTCGTGTCTTGGCATAGATGCTGGAGCAAGGGGTCTTCCTTGTTTAAAGAGATATGTTCATCAACCAGACGGCAGGCTCATCAACAAGTTGGAGTTCTCTACTCCATTTCACAGGTACTTGTCTTACCAAGTTGTTACGAAAACTCATCAGCCAGCCAAGCCAAACAGACACCACCCCCAATATTATTTTACACGCGTGTCAAAAGAAATAACTTGCCGCAGGCCAAGCGGGTGAAGGAATTTTACGAGGTTGTGTCTGATCCTCCCTTCTCCCCTCCCTTAGACAGTTAAAAGAAATGTTTGTATGATGAAAGGGGTAAGGGAGCAGAGGACAGCTGGTTAGGAATTAATGAAATGTTTGAGCATTATCATGCGATAATGGATTTAGCTGACTGTTTGCCAGTGTTCAGATCTAGTGTGAATTGCTTTATATGAAGCAAGAGGATCCCTAGATTATACAAACCTCCCGAGACTGCTGCTGCTCCTAAATCCTTTCAAAGCTGTGATTTTTTTAAAAAAAGGTAATTCACCCTCTGGATGGACAGAAACCCTTGGGATTGTTTTGACTTGCTTTCAGACTTAATGATATTTGACACAGCCGGCTCTCTGAGGTGTCTCCTAATTGGGAGTGGCCATGGGTTTAGGAAGCCTGAGGCTACGCTTGAAGCAAATCTGCACCCAGAAACCCAGGTGTGGTCTCCCAGCCGGGACATTTATAAACAGGACATGAAAAATGAGTCTCAACTTTTACACATTTGGCCTATAACTCAGCCCTGGGGTATCTCTCACAAAGGGTGATGTATCTGACAGGAGACCCAGGCTCTGGACTTGAAACTGCTGTTTATCCTTCTTCCCACTCTCCCCCAACACATGCAGTCATTACGATGGAACTTTAATGGCTGTGTAAAATGGTCCACGTCCCTTGATGCCTATATTTTTCCCCCTAAAGCATTGGGATGTTTCTGGTTTTTTTCAGATGTGGACTTATAGCTAGTCAACCAAAGATATTTTGTCTGGACACAGACAAGTCTCAAGAAAGTTTTATGAAGAAAAGCAGGAGATTGCGTGAATTTGTGGCACCCAGACAGGCAGATTTTCAGGTTCATTCAGGTTGCCTGTGTTAGCCAAAATTGACTTTTAATTCTGAGCCAAAGGGCTTCTGACAGAACCTGCAAGTATAAAGTGTGACACAGCCCTTTGCCCTGTCACCAGCCCAAAGTCTACCCATCTAGAGTCAGTTGGTTCATGCCACCACAGAGCAATGTCAACAGTCCTGAGCAAACAGGGTGGTGCAAGTGTAGGGTTCCCTTGCCCTCATCCTGCACTGAAACCTGGAATCCCCCTGTGCTGGGTATTGGTGAGGTCACACCTCAAATCCTTTGTTCAGCTTTGGACCCCTCACCACAAGAACATTGAGGTGCGGGAGCATGTCCAAAGAAGGACAGTGGAGCTAGAGAAGGGTCTGGATGATGAGTGG